TTTGTTGTTTTCTTTATTTTTACAGAAATACCTTATCACCCTTTAACAAGTATCAAGATCAAAGACAGAAATCGTCTCTTCTCAATTGAGAATGAAATCCGTGTGTGTTTATCTAAAAGTTCGACTTCGAATTAAATATTTGTATAGCAAAAGACAGACACAGGCTTCACATTAAAGAAGCATATTTCATTTTATCAAATGGTTATAATATTAACATTTTCTTAGCCAATTTATTGGTTAACATGGCATTTTACCTTGATTTCCCTTATGTCTTTTCAACATTGCCAGTAAAGAAAAAAAAAAACAGATGCAACAATTATCTATTTTCGTTCTGTTTACATTTATATTATAGGTATATCATATTTATATTATAGGTATTATATTATAGGTATATCATATTTATATTATAGGAATATCATATTGGTTACTTATGTTTATTTCTTACATTTGAGTTTAGAATTTTTTGTGTGAATAAAAACTCCCTGATAAAGTATTATAAACGAACATTATGAATTTTATTTAGCATTACCGAAAAAGTTGACAAATAAGTATTAATTTTTCCTTAAACCAATTATTCAAAAATATATCCTATAATATTTACCACGTGAACTACGAAGAAAATAAAATGAGAAAGATATGATATATAATTTTGTTTTTGCGCAGGGGTTCCTTGAGACATGGGATTTATTTTAAGGGTTACGCAAGGGTAAAAAGGTTGAGAAACACTGAAATAGACTGAACTGACCTCTCAAATTCACATCTGATTTGAAATTTTTATTTTCTATTCCTACTGGATACGTGGTTTGTAAAAGTCTAACAAAACAAAAACAATGGTGTAGCGACCCGGGGGTTTATGTGTTGTTAAATTAGGAAACGCGTGTAACTCCAGATAGAATATTAAAAGGTCCATTACAAGAATATGGCGGATTTAAGTTGAGTCCAACCGAAGATGTAAAAAAACAAACAAGACCGATATATATATATATATATATATATATATATATATATATATATATATATATTAATTTAAAAAAAAACAGACTACTTTTAGGTTTCCATTATAATAATTTATTTCACCAGGGCTCTGGTGAAATAAATTATTATAATGGAACCTTAAAGTGGTCTGTTTTTCTTTAAATTATTAGCTCTGGATTTATATTGAGCTGTCAGGATTTCATCCTCCTTGGGACTATCCATACGGATTACCAAGTTTTTCATAACTTTATATATATATATATATATATACATACAAACAAGTATATGTATTAAACAACAAAACTTACAATGGACTTAGAGATTTGTGTTTGTGTGTGAACATAAAAAGTTCGTATTTTGATGAATGTTCGTACGTACGTGTATCTGTGTTTCATGGCGTTTTCCCACAAGTGGGCAAAAACGCCGATCTCTTCGAGAGATCACATTTTGTAAATGTGTCCGCTGAAATGCAAAGTAAAAAGAGAACGAGGCAATAAATCGCACAGTATTTATAGTGTAGGGAGAGGGTGCCCTAGTGGATAGTTAGGAAATTAAGGAGGAGTTAACTCCGACAAAGGGACTTCATGATCAACTAAAAATCTTCACCTCAAGTCTTCACGTCAAAGAACTTCAATACAAGCCGAAAATACAGACAGATACAATCACAGAGGCATCTTTGTGCAAATTACAAAACACAAAACGTTTTCACTTTTTCAAGACAACTGTTGACAAAATAAATATAAACACGTACGCAGCGGAAGTCGGTCTAAATAAATCCCCAATGAGGCTCAAACGTTTCGGTAACAGTTTGCCAGGTTAGTTTACTAGGACCCAACGATGTAGGGATATTATTATTATTATTATAAATAAATAAAAATAAAATATAAAAAATAATAATAATGAAAATTATAAATAAAATAAAATAAAACAATAATATAAAAACTTTGTTTAAAATAAATTAAATAAAAAAATAAAAATATTGCCAGCATGCAACAAAAACTGTTCTTGACATTAAATTCATTCTTTTCGCCACGAACCTTAGTACGGGAAACACGTGTCCAACGTCTCTCTGTAATGTGGCTTGTAATACTACGGAGTAAATTCTCCCTTTTATCACATGTACCATAAAACAATTGTAACGTAAAAAATACACACACCAATACATACAAGAAAAACATAAATAAATTGTATGAAATTAATATATAATTATAACCATGTTTTCTCGTTATTTCTGTACGCTTTATTTAGAAACATATAGTTAATTAACACAATATCCCATATGCCTGAAATAATTATAATAATATTATTAATAAAGATTTAATTAAGAAAGATTCCTTGACATTTTGAATATCATCAGTCTTTCATTCATTGATTTAAAATGTTTTTCAGTTTGAATTTTACTTACAGCCATTCTTACCTCAGAGAGATCTTACTTGAATATTGCCTTCCATTCTCATATAAGTTTTTAAGTTTTAAGTTTTTAGGGGTTTTAAGTTTTCTATTGGATTAATATCTGACGAGGCTGGAAGTCATTGTAACTAATTTTCTAAGGTGGGTAGTAATTGTCAACTTCTCAGAATGTGAAGGAATAGTGTCTACATTTTTTTGTCTCTGTTTACATTTGCAACACCAGATTATTCAAATATATTTTTACTGGTCAAACCACTTTTCTTGCTTATTACTCTTTTTCAGCTTTTTTTTTTTTTTTTGCATTCCTAAAACCAGTTTTATTTATTTATTATTATTTTTGTTTATCTTGTTAAAGTTTTACGTGACTTTTTTGTAATTGTTCTCCCCGGATATTTGCTAAACGTTTTCGCAATTTCCAACTTTTCTTTTCTATCATTCAATAATTTAAAAATATCCTGATTTTCTTTTGAGGTTATATCTTTCTTACAACCTATGGAAATATTTATATATTATTGAAATGGGAAAGGTATTAATCCTCTTCTTCTTCCTCCAGCTATGGGTAAATAGCAGGACAGACTGGGTTCTATAGCCTTGGATGGCAACTGAACAAGAAGGACAACTCTGAATTCAAAACCTGCGGAGGGCTGTTTGGGGACCTTGTGGCACGCGGATCACCTGTTCTCTGTATTCGGCCCTTCAAAAGTGTGGTTGGTTCTGCACAAAGCCTTTACCACCATAACCAAATCATCATGTGTGCTGGTGTCTGGGCTGTCGGTCCCTAAGAACTCAGCTGCTTGACCCTCGTACGACAGGAGGGAAGTCACAACACACACACACACACACACACACACACACACACATATATATATATATATATATATATATATATATATATATATATATATATATATGTATATAAAAGTGAACAGAGAAGTCAACACAGTCTGTTTCATGCTAGATGCAATCGTCAGGTCACACCTGTGTGGCCTGATGATTGCGTCTAGCATGAAACAGACTGTCGCCTCTAAGTGTTGACTTCTATGTTCACTTTTATATTTACTCACGCTCTATCTCTGATATTGAGCACTTTATTCCATAAATATAGCACATCTGAAGACTATATATATATATATATATATATATATATATATATATAAGATGAGAACGAATAGAGTACAATTCCAACGTTCGTAGCATATAATTTAAAAGAAAGCTCAATACAAAGTAGAGCAATGTGCTGCCATTGACTGCCAATCTACGGGAAAATAATTTCTTAAGTTTTGCTTCTTCGCTTAGTTTAAATTTAACGGAGGTCATATTCGACTATATTCACAACTATAATCAAACTATAATCAACTATAATCAACTATAATCAAATCATATATGCTAGTGTCTGGCTGTCAGTTCCTAGGAAATGACCTGCTTGACCCTCATACGTCGAACACAACGGGAGAGTCCACCACTGAAATATTAATATACTTCTCTATATATTTATTTAAACATTATTTAAACATACTTCTATATATAATTATTTAAAATAGGATCAACATTCTCACTGTTTTATAAAATTTCACACCATTAAATAACTTGTAAAGATCTCTAATAAAAGCAGAGAAAGCTGAAAATTCACATGGCGTATCTTACAAATATCAACTTCTTAATATCAATTTTCTTGCATAATGAATTTCATATGATACATGACGCTTTTATAAATGATTTTATTTTTTTTTTTAGTTGTTCGTCTGCATCTCATTAAATGCATCTTCTGATAGGATATTCGAATTTAACAACTGCTTTTAGAATTCGATGAAATGTAATTGGCAATTGAATGGAAAACAGTTTAAGCATAAAAAAAAAATTTACGATAGGGAAATTCGCAATTCGTGACACTTTGTAAATCTTTATCAAGTTTTAAATACATGTCTGGCGTGCGCCGGTGCGCCCTTGTACGAACAAACACCAATTCTGTCCACTTCTATTGACAACTGATAAGGTGCATTTTCCTACCGAAACCAGCTATCAATGTTAAAACAAGGAAATGAAATACCGATTATCAAGACAGGAAAGGTAGGCTTCCCACATGGTGCAACACAATCTTTCTATAATTCGCTCCATTTTGGCCTAATACCAGATTAAGCTTTAGCAAATATTTTTAGCGGCCAAGAGGTTTCCGGGGTTTGAGCGAATGATTTTGAATGTTGATTTTCAAGCAGCTCTTTGAAAGGTTGGCGCAACAGAGTCTTCCCAGGAAATGTCAGTTTATTTAGTGTTGTGCATGATTAAGAATAGCTTAATCAATATATCTACACCAGTCTCTTTTCCGTAACAACTTTCAGCCTTTCTTTTTTTCTTTTCCTTTATTCCTTTCTTTAATGTTCGTTTTTTTTTTATCTTTCTTCTCTCTCTAGCATTTTCTCTTTTTCTCCTACTCACTCGCTTTGCTTTTCTGTCTTCTTTATCTCTCCTCCCCCTCTCTACCTTTCTCTCTTTCTTCATGCATCCTTTTCCTTTACCATTCGTATTCCTTTCATTTCCTCTCTTCACATTTACTCTTTTGTCTCTGATATCCTCACGTTTTGTTTAGCGAAATCAGTAAGCCTTTCTTCTTCCTTCCGATGCTCTATTATTCGCCCTCTCTCCCTGTTGTTCACGTGTCACCGGAAGCTGACGACAATCCGACATTGCGCGGAAATTGCTGCAATGGCGGTTCACTTAACGTCGTCGTCGTCGTCCTTACAGTATGGAAAATGGGCAAATTTTTTTTTTGTGGCAATCGCACGCTTGCCACGGAAGTCTTTCGTTCCGAGGTTTCCGGGGGTGAGGGAGATCACGATTCTGATGATAAGCAAAGGATGGAAAAGGGAAGAAAGAAAGACAAAGAAACACGAAGAAGAAGAAGAAAAGAAGATAATATATATATATATATATATATAGAGATAGAGAGAGAGAGAGAGAGAGAGAGAGAGAGACCTGGTGTTTCCACTGATATATATATATATATATATATATATATATATATATATAGATAGATAGATAGATAGAGAGAGAGAGAGAGAGAGAGAGAGAGATAATCGTCTAGTACAGGACAATAGAGGAAAAGAAAAGACTGGTGCCCCAAGTTTCATTTTATCTTGTTTTTTTTTTTGTTTTTTTTTGTTTTTTTTCTTGTGTTTCTTCTCCCTTTTCTGAAATATTAAATCGCGCCCATTTTATAGACATGAATTTTCTCAAAAAATCACCTAATAATATTAATATATATATATATATATATATATATATATATATATATATATATACCGAGAGAGAGAGAGAGAGAGAGAGAGAGAGAGAGAGAGAGAGAGAGAGACCTGAGTTTCCACTAATATTATATATATATATATATATATATATATATATATATATATATATATATATATATATATATATATATGTGGTGACTCCAGGTGTCGAGCTTGTCGGGCTGAGCGTGTCAACATTCAAGCATATCTATTTCAACGCTACAAAAAGATTTTAAAATGATATATTTTAGTTAGAGGAAAGGAATCATTTAGTTATCCCAATAGTATATTTATACCAACAGTATATTTTGTTAAAGATTGTAATGAGCCCGACAAACGTTTATGACCTTGATCGACACTGATATATATTTCACTCATAACAGGTTCGGAGGTTTTTGTATATTATTTGAATTGTTTGCGACGATGGATTTCTCGCCAATTAAATCATTAACCTTTGCATTTGTTTTTGTATGAATAATTCATGAATTTGTAAATTGATTGCACGTTTATCGAAATATATATATATATATATATATATATATATATATATATATATATATATGTGTGTGTGTGTGTGTGTGTGTGTGTGCGTGTTTTTGTGTGTGTGTTATTGCTGTTTTAGTTATCTGAATGATGTAATTTGAAATAAAGAAACAACTGATTTCAAAATATCGATCCTGTTGCCCAAAATGAAACCATTTATTTATTAACAAAATCAGTTATTATTGACCTGCATACAGTTCTTTGAAAGCAAATCTTCGAAAAACAGATTATTCAAACAAGTCGAGCTTTCATTGAAAAGTCTTCTTTCAGTTGATTTTCACTGACAAATATTTTACTTGTCAGAAAATAGTTCCGGTGTTTAAATATCGTCATCCACAGGAGTGAGTTTGAATGAACAAGAAGGGTGTAATACAATCTCTAAATTCAACTTTAATCGTGACCGTTGTTATGTAGTCAGTTTGTTTCTGTTAGATTTAAACGCTATTCCAATGTTAAAAACACTATTTCAAGCTGGTCTTCATATCTGTAAACTTTGTGTCGTCACTTTGATAGTAAAATAACAGATTCAAACTTAAATTCCCCTGTCAAATCTTGTAGATTCGTTTACGAAAGGAGTCGAAAAAAATATTAAATTCGATATAGTTTCAACAAATAAGCAAAGTATGAGCCGATATGGTGAAAGGAAGAAAAGGAAAGACAACTAGGAAAATGATATATATATCCGTTTAAATCTTCCGTAGACCCATTCCCGATTCCTAGTTTTGCGTTGCTAGTGAAAACCAATCGACGATCTCCCACCAGAAAGCCTTCGGCCATCACAGCGGAAGAAGAAAGCGTTTCAAATGATCACAATGAGCAACTGGATTAGCCTCACTTGTATTATTATTGAATGCGGAAAGCTGGCGACCGGAAATTGTACAATTTGTCAACTTCCCGTACAAACCAGACAGCACTGAGGCTATGATGCAGCATGTTGGTCGTTAGGATGTCTGCAGTTTCTTCTTCTTCTTCTCGCGGGCGACTTTTCATCTTTTGACAAAGAAATCTCTTTGCGTTTCTAGTTTCCATTCTCGCCGGTAGTTTTCTTGTTCTCAGACGGCTTTCTTTGTTCAAAATGCCGGCTTACATTTATGTTGAAAGTGTGCTATTATTGGTAGAATACATTTACAAATAGAAAACCTAAATATAACCCATAAATAACACTTTGAATACATACTCATAAATTTATACACGTATTTTCCGTAGGAAATTGATTATCACACACACACACACACACACACACACACACACACACATATATATATATATATATATATATATATATATATATATATATATGCATATATATATATACATATATATATATATATATATTTGTGTATTTAGGCTGCAAATTCTCTTTTAGGCATGTCTGATTGAATAAATTACAAATATTATGTCTGCTTATTTTTATCATAATCCTTTCATACCCACGAATATTTTTCCGTATATCACAATTAAATAAGGCGTAATAATAATAAATTGCTTTATTTAATTGTAATATACGCAAAAATATTCGTGAATATGAAAGGATTATGATAAAAATAAGCAGACTTAATGCTTGTAATTTATTCAATCAGACATATATATATGTGTGTGTGTGTGTGTGTTTGTACGTGTCTGTGTCTGTGTGTGTGTGTCATTTCACCCCAAGCAAGGCGGTAAAGACGCAAGGGAGGTCTACTGAGAGTGAAAGGAAATTAGAAAAAACTTTAGAGAAGTGAAAGGACAATAAAACAAGATTGAAAAGATAGAAGATGTTGATTGACGTTACATTTAAATTTTTGAATATCGCATTTGATAAGGAATCAAGAAGACACCGGAAGAGACTTCCACAGTGAAGAAGTGCTAAAGAAGAAACTATTGGAATAGAACTTATAGTTACATCAACAATAAAATGATGAGACCTAGCTGCCAATCTAGCTTAAATTCATAAAGTCAAGGTTCCAAAGAGGATAACTCATCAGAACAATCGTCATGAAAATATTTATAGAAAAGACACAGGGAAAATAGGTTACGGCAGTGGGAAAGTGACTGAAGCCAAGATGCTACGTAAGGCCAGATAATATTGCAGATTCTTCATTTGGATTTTGTCAAGAAGCTCGATATATATCAGGAGTATAAGACCAGATCTAGCAGCAATATTAAATGCAGGAACTAATAGTAGACTTATAAACATAAAAAATGGTTTCTGTCGAGAAAAATCATCTAGTATGACGTAGTAAACCAAGCTTCCTAGCAGCAGATTTAGTAAATGATTCAACAACTTTACCAAAAAGAAGTGGAAGACTAATAAGTCGAGAGTTCAAAGGATCAGATACTTCATCTATGTTCTTAAAAAACTACAGAAGAGGATTTCCAGCAAGTTGGAAAGCAATAAGCTGCAAAGCATTTATTGTGGAGTTTAGAGAGAACATGAGACAGTTCAGGGTTACATTACTTAATGGCAATTGCTGGGATAACATCGAGTTTGCATGCTTTGTGGGGATCAATTTTGGAGATTGTAGTGGAAACCATCGACGAGGTTATATAGTAGGGGCTCGGTTCTAGGCGAAAAAATCATGCAAAGATGCCCATGGTGAGTAGTAAGTGGAACTAGAAAAGAACCTCCGAGCAAAGCATACTGGACTGTCAGCAGTAAATGACAACACCTCAAACAGATTGAAAAGAAATTTGAGGACTTACTCTTATTTACCACACTCTTACAGAGGCGCCGGTATTCACGAGAACTAAATTTGTGCGAGGCTATACGATGTCTCACTCTAACAGCTATTTTACCTTATTGAAGACACGCTTAAAATTATTACGAGCGAACACAAAAGAGCGTCTGTTGTGATCTGTGCTATCGTGTTGATATAGCCGGATGAAGTGATTCCCGTGAGCTATAGTGACAGAACGAGAAGGTGTGAACCAAGAAGTTTACGGCTTCATCTAGTATTTCCAAGGTGATACTCTTATGAGAATCTATTTTTTATGAATGAAACTTCTCAGAGTTCTAGAATATTTAATGTGGTCGGATGATTTTATAAGTGGAGGTCTTTTATCCGGGTATTCGTTGATCGGCGTCAAAATTAAGCGAGTTGGCTGGCAAAGTCAGTTGTTGCAGAAATCTGCTTCAGAACAGTACGTTTATTGTCGTTCGCTGACTTGAAATATAAACTATACTATAAAAAAAAGCAGCAACTCCCGACTGAGGCTATTCTGAAGTAGTTCTAATATCGTTTCAGTAAACCTTCATGATTTTTTTTCGTTTTTGACACTGACTATAATCACTATAATTATAATAAAACCTTTTTTTGTTTGCTATAAAAACCTTAGTTGGTCTCCTTATGTTCACTTTGCTTCTCTTTATCTTATTTCTTTTGCCGCACACGTGATAAAATAGGGGCTCGTCCGGGATCTGAACCCGGGACCTCTCGCATCTCAGTTGGCCTCCTTATGTTCCCTTTGCTTCTCTTTATATTATTTCTTTTGTCGCACACGTGATAAAATGGAGGCTCGTCCGGGATCTGAACCCGGAACCTCTCGCATCGATGTCAACTTTCACTAAAAAAAAAACCAAAAAAAAAACCTCAGCAGCATAATTTCTAATGGGAAGATTTAAGATTTCACTTCAAGAGGCGTCGCGAAAAAGAAAATGAATGCCAAATTGTACGCAGGTAACAGAATAAAGTCTCGTAATGAGGAGGTTTATGTCTATTAGACGAGTCAAAAGAAATATGCACACACGCTACAGCATGATCGGATTTGCCAAAAGTACAGAGCTAAGATACCCGACAACAATCCAAAGAGGTGGCACGGAAAAATATAGTAATGAAGCTTGTTGGTTAGAGTTATTAGGAAAAAACAATCAGGGAAAGCTAGTACTTGGCTGAGAAATTTAACAACTGAAAAATCGTAAGTCTAAATAGCGACATCAGAATTATTAGAACAGGGAAGCTATTTAACGTCACGAGCATTAAAGTCGCCAAACACAAAGATATCCGAAAATGAACGTATAGAGAGCGTCGTTTCTATACTGTCAGATAATTTGTCTAACATACTACAGTCCTGGGAAGAAGGGGAGTAGTACAGAATGATAGCTAACAAAGTTTAACAGTGAAAGTCGAAAGCGCGTAAAAGAATCGTACGGAAACTCAAGAGATAATTCTCTTACCATTGGGAGATTTTCCGGAACATAGACATCAAGGCCATGCACAGGTACCGTAAAATTCTTTCGATAAAGAGGAAGATAGTCTGGAGTGGAGAAATCAGTGTTAGAAACTGAAGAGTTTAAGTTAGTTTCACAGAGCGGTAAGATATCTGGAGAAGGTTTCAAGAGAAAACATTCTACACTACAGAAATTAGAACGAATAACACGAATCTTGGAAAGAGAAAGGATGAGGGGCGTAGGTGATATTTTGCAAACTGGTTTACTTACATGTGCCTGTAAAACATCTTTTATTCGGTGAAGTTTAGTTTGTAAGGTTTACGAGTTTTTATTCTGGGATTTAGCCCAGGAAATTAATAGTAATTTTTTTTTTAAATGCTCAAAGTTATATATTGAAGATTTTTAAGAAGCGACCTTGCTGGGACAGCCACTTCCCTCAGTGGAACTGAGATCTAAGGAACTTGGTGGTCAGGGCAATACAATGGATCTTCGTCATGTTTTCTGGAACCATTCCTGTGTTCCACCAAAAACATGCTATAATCATTTCTGAAGACTGTAGCTGATCTTCAGTGATGCTGAGGTATGTGGTACTTGACAAAAAAGCCTTCCATATGAATAAAAGACATCCAGCAGAAGGTTTACCAAGACATTACACCACTTTATTGTTTCCCATCACACATCTTGGTGCCATCTGCTTCCCAGAATAACAACGAACCTACCGTTTTTTGTATCGATAAATCTTTGCTGACGAATAAATCTTCTAGATTTTTCTCTGATCAAACCTAAGCCGATCACCAAAAATAAAGGTGAACACACCACAAATCGTGTAGCTTCAGAAATTCTCTGATAATTTGGCCTCTGTCAGTCACTCAGACCTTTTTGCCGGTAGCAGTAGTTTATACATACATATATATATATATATATATATATATATATATATAATAATAATAATAATAATAATAATCGACTCTCCCGTCGAGATTCGACGTATGAGGGTCAAGCAGATCAGTTTCCAGGAAACAGACAGCCCGACACCGACACATGAGATTTGATTATAATGGTGAAGGCCTCGTATAGGACCAACCACACTTTTTTAAAGGACGAATACAGAGACCTGGTGCATCGAGTGCCACAAGGTTCCCAAACGACCCTCCGCAGGTTTTGAATTCAGGGTTGTCCTTCTCCTAGACCAGTTGCCATCCAAGACTATAGAACCCAGTCTGTCCTGCTATTTTACCCATAGCTGGAGGGAAAGGAAGTGTATTCATACCTTTACCAAGTATATATATATATATATATATCCCGACACGTGAGATTGTTACGAGACAGTAACTGTCATTCTTGTCATATGGCAATGGGTATAATATTTTAGTTCATATGTGTATATAGTTGTTTATTTAGCTTAAATTAATTTGGCACGACACTAATTCTTGAACGTGTTGAACCTGACAATTTTTATTGACGGCAAGCGTCTGAATATGTGGAAGAAAGGGAGAAAGAGAGGGGGGGAAGTGGAAATAGAATGAATTAGAACAACTTTGTATTTTTGACATCTGTAGAACTTCTAGTGTATCACTGACATTGTCAATGGAATAAAATGAATTTAGAGACTTTGAAAACAAATGGAAGCTTCAGACCAAAAGCCGTGGGCGTTTCTGATTTCATTTCAGAGAAGAGGACTTAGCCGAATACCATTTTGTCGATGCCGAGGTTTGCTTTGCAGGCAATATCGATAATAGGCATTGCTTTCTTTATCATAAAACTTGATTATCCACGGATCTGATTAAGCCATTGAGTTTCGTTCTTATTTTTAAACAGATCGAACATTTGATTAACAAATGCGGCTTCTCTTAGGTCATTAAGTACGGGAGTCAATGACGAGCTAATTAAATTAACAATGTGGCTTTTCGCCTGCTTTTAGAAGGTTTGAAAATCACGTAATAACGTTTTTCAGATTGTTTGACTTCAATAGTCTAGTAACCTACTGACTTTAACAATCAGTTTTTTCAAAAAAAAAAAAAAAAAAAAAAAAGAATTCGTAGCTTGAAAAACGAGTCTTTGGCGATTTCCTTTGTCGACCTTCAAGGCCGTCTTTTCGTCATTGTAATGTTCTCTCTGAGAATGAAAAAAGGAAGTTATTTTGTTCCCATACATATCTATAAATACCTATATATTTTACTTTCATCAGATTTTTTTTTTTAACCAGGGTAGTTAATCATCAAACATACAATTTGTATGTAGAAATAAGTTTACCAAATAATCCGAGTGAGTACTGAAAACTTCTCAGCCTCATCAAAGCCAATCAAAAACAACTATTTAATCCTATTTTAGAAAGTGGCCGAGAACTTTTCAGCACTACCCCCGGATATAGATGAGTAGAAGCGATTGGACTTAATCCCTCTTTGAATCTGTCTGCAGATTTACTTGCGTCATCGTCTTTAGAATTAATCGGCTCTTCGCAATTAACCAACCGGATCTGTTTTTGAGTCATAAGAATTTTAATTTCTCTTCAGTCAAGGTGAAGAAAGATTACCTGCTATTCGACAAATATTAATCCATCCTTCCATTCAGTTATAGTCACCGACCAACCAAACACACACACAAACACACACACACACACACACACACACACACACACACACACACACATATATATATATATATATATATATATATATACGAAGCAGGTTGGGGGTGGGGGAGATTAATAAATCTGTCGCCCAACATTGTTATTAACTGAAGTCTTTACTGACATTTTCATTATATAATGTTTGATTGATGGGATTAAAGGAGGAGAGTTGGGTTAAGTGCATTCATTAAAAATGCGATTATTTTGATAAATAATTATTTCTTTTGCAAAATAAATGCATTCTTTTTAATCTTTAGACTCCGAATCTATCTATCTATCTATCTATCTATCTATCTATCTATCTATTTTAGGATATTACACCGAAAACCTGTCAAAATCGCTACACAACTGCAGCCGTGTTTCGATGCGTATCAATGCATCTCATCAGGCGATTTTAAATGACTGGCGAGTGAACGATTTATTTAAATTTAAAAGCAAAATACGTCTTTTTTATGAAAATTTAAACTAAGCGAATTAAAAAAAATATATAAATGTGTCAAGACCCATAGATTGGCAGCTAACGGCAGCCAGACTAGATAGGATGCAAATGGTTGCATAATTTATACAAACTAGATGATGCCGTTACCTAAGAAATAAAAATGGGGTGAAGAGGTAATTTAACAAAATGCTAAACAAGTTATATGCTTTATGAATTTCCTACATAAATTTTTTTATAGTTGATAAATAAATAGCTTCTTCAAGAAACTAGCAATTAATTTAATGGTATAGAATTTTTAATATGCAACTGTTGAATAAAGATTTTTCATATAAGATGTTAATAACACTAACCAATCAATGTAAAATATAAAAAATACCAACCAAATACCAACACATCTGTACAGGATGTTACTAATACTACCAGATGAATAAAAAAGTATATTAAATTCAAATTAATTTTACAAATAGAAAGATAAATTATATATGGTGAAACGCAGTGCAACTAACATATGAGCAAAAGCATAATCAAATTCCAAAGTTTAACTAAATTGTAAGGTAAAAGGAAAACTATGTTTACAATTTACAGTTAATTCATTTCTTTGATTTAATTTTTATTGAATCTGATAATTTTCAGTTTTTTTTATTTAAGCAGAGGGTTCATATAAAAATCTACATCTTGCCGTTTTTAAAATTTACCTTTTCACCTTAGGAGTTTTATTATCATCTTTTAAACCCCAAAAATATTTAGAAAGTGATGTATTATTTCTGTAAGTACTATTGGTGAAGAACAAGATATGTTGAGATCACCTAGTTCTTAGTACTACCAATATAGAATTTTTCAACCGTCAGATTCTCTATTATAGTGATTGTACAAAGATAAACGCAATCGTCAGGCGATGTGCGTTGTATTTTAGTTCGATTATTTATATATGCTGCTCAATGGTGCATTATGGGCAGGTCTATTGTCTTATTCTAATGGTTATTGTGTGGATGGTAACGGTTAAGTTTTCAAATGATTGTAGTCAGTGGAAATAATTCTGGATCCGAATACTGTTTAGTAGCTATTTTATAGTGTTGTTTCTTAACTTTATTATCGATTGTTTTGTTATTTGTTGCTGATTGCTATTATTACGTTTACTTGTGTTTATGTGTACATTCGTCGTTTGTCAATGTGTTTATTATTTACTTATTTATTGATTTGGATTAATTTATTATATTTATTTATTTTATTTATTTATTTTAATTTAATTTGCTTGTTCCTTTTTATTTTTCGATTTTTAAGCAACTTTTTAGTAAAATTTGTTTTCGTGTCTGCATTATGAGATGAGTTCTGATCGTTTACTTAGTAATTTCTGTTGGCCTTGGAAGATAATTAGAACTATTTTCTCCTCCAGACAGAGTTTACAGTATTTGTATTTATTGTGTAGGCTGGTGCTGTTTTCTTTATTTTCTCCGTTATCTTTGGTGTGATTTGTTTTTAATTTCCCATATATGTTTAGTAAGCATTGTGCTTGTTGCGTATTTACTATTTGTAAAGGATGTTTTGTGTGCGTAGTTTCTTCTTTTCAGGATACTTCAGTTACTGTTATGTATATTTTTACTTCATTATCTGCTAATATTTACAGTGGCTTGGTATATTACATTGTTCAAGAGGCATTCGTTCTTTACTCTGCTGTTACATATAGGTTGGATTTGTGAGGTGCTTCCTTGGTTGTTTTACTGTAGTGATTTTTGATTATCTGTGTTATGTTCTCGGAGCACCTGTTGCTGATTCTGACTGTGTTTTTGTTGAATATCTAGTGAAGAGTGTTTGATGGGATGGGGGTATTTATGTATGAGTTTAATGAATGTTTTTCCTACGTTTGTTTTACGTTTTGTTGTACTGTGCGTTGAACCATTTTCCTTTACTTTTAAGCATGAAAGACTATCGCCGCTGAATACTGACCTCAGTGTACATTTGATATATATATATATATATATATATATATATATATATATATATATATATATATATATATATATGAATGAATTAATTAATTAATAAATAAAAAGAGACAAGAGGAAAAACTATTCTTAGCCGACGCGTTTCGTCCTCTGAGATCTTTATCAAGACAATGTAGGATTTATTTTGCAGCACGTGTTTATATACAAAGGCGAGTGTGTTCTTGGTTTAACAAGGCTTATAAATTTGAGAAGGTTCATGAATATTCGTCTGGCAGTTGAAGGTCAGTTAAAACATGTGGAGGACACAGAGTGTCATAGTTCAAAATCTCGTAAAAAGTTAACTGAGCGAATACTATTCAATTTTTTTTTTATTAAAATGAATATTGTTTAAATTTAAAAACTGGTCGCTATATTTAAAAAAGGGATTATATTTTGTTGGTATTCATACAATTGCCTGTTGATGAGTAATATAAGTGCATGGAAGTAGAGAAAATTATTTTAATTGGAGTTAGATTAAATTGTATAGATTCTTAGATTCTTCTATTGAATATGCTATCCTAAATTGTATGGATAGTAAATTTTGTTTAAAAATATGTACTTTCATTACTTAGAGTCGCCACTAATATGTATTAAACACACAACTACTACTAGAATTCAGAAAGCACTCACGCACTCACACATGTCATAAGATATAAACACCTGAGATCTATATCTGAACAATGAAAAACGAACACAACTCAAATCTACCGGAACCTACCTTCTCTTCCACAACTCATCATATATATATATATATATATATATATATATATATATATATATATATATATATATATATATATATATATATATATATATATATATATATATATATATATACTGGACTCTCCCGTCGGTTTCGACGTATGAGGATCTGACAGCTTATTGATTCAGTTATGAAAGTTTGTGCGATAATCTTAAGTGGCATTTAAAGGAGGCCAAATATGGAGCAAGTGTGAGGATTGTGAAATGAGATCACTGTTAGATTGGCTGACCTTTTAGATCTTGCTCTCACTTCTTGAAGATGATTCAGACAAGCAGATTGAAAATTGCTGAGTCCACAAAAAAACACGTTGATCTCCATTCTACCCGCTCCAAAGCTAAGCGCTCAAGGGTGTTATGTGGTATATTAACTGCTGACAAGTTGCTTTTCAGCTTGTCTTTGTATCTTAGCCATGGGCGTCCTACATTCCTGTAGCCCTGATCTAACTGACCATGATATGTATAATAATATGATATTTATAAGCCTGATATATATATATATATATATATATATATATATATATATATATATATATATATATATATATATATATATATATATATATATATATATATATATATATAATATTAGTGGTCAATATATATCCAAGAGGATAGAATCCAAGTAGAACTCAATGTCCAGGACAGAGTAAGAATATAATATAAAAGGCTCAAACACTAATATTCCATGGTTACAATTTATTACATTGGAATCGTAATCACGATCCAATTCATCAGACCTACAAATTCATGTTTTTATAACAAATATTTTATATCTGGGAAGACATTGACATTTATAATTAAGAAGGCAGTTGCTTTGCTTGTGGATTTGATTTTATACAGCGAAGTAGTAAAATTGTAACTCTTAGTGCCTATTAAAATGTCAAGGAAAGAAATACAGTTATTAATGTCAAATTCACAAGTAAAGTGTTGAAGGAATATTTACGGGTTTTATTTTGCCTATGTTTAAGCTAGAATGAAGATATAAGAATATATTGGCATAGACCATAAGTTTAACATAATTATTAAAGATTTCTACTAGAATGAAATCAATCACATAAACCTAGCCCGGATTTACGTCTCATAATTTCACAAATGTATATGACTTATCCAAAACTTTAAACCCACTAATCCTACCATACTAAACCAAATATGTTAATTTCACTAATGACTTTCTTGATTTTTTTTTATTGGGTCCTACTACGTCAGACATTTATGAGCCTGCTACGTCAACCACTATGATTCTCCATCAAAGTCGGAAGCTGCTTGACCGGCACGTCTTGCTCCATGGTTAGCCGTTCAGAGCTATAGATTGTTGCAGTTTTTTGTGTATATATATATATATATAACTAGTGAGCCAGTCAAAATGACTTGACTCACTTTATAGTCCACCATTAGAAGGTTAACCAATCAGAAGACGTAGAATATTCAATCCGTCGTGTATAAAGGCGGCCATTTTTTTCACTCTACCCGAATGTCCAGTCCAGCTTTTCAGGCGAAGAGAAACAGAAGGACGAACTATGCTCTGCTACCTTTTACCAAAATATCCACTGCTAACCTGAACAACGCTTTCCTACTGTCTTCGAAATATTCACTGCTAACCCCTGGATTCTATACTCGAAGACGACCGCCATCATGAATAACATAGATCACTCATGAGATCTTGTTTTGCTCGCCAGCAGTGTATTCTGCGTTCGCGTAGATAGTAGAATTATAAAAGATAGGTCCAAAGAGCTGTGACTTACATGGATGTTGTCTCCAAGAGATGTTAATTATAGCTCTCAGCATCCGAGTTACGAGTTCCACGTTTCTCCGCCTGTGGATCTATCCAAAGATTTATTATTTTTGCATAGCATCATTATGGCGGTTACTTTTTTTCAGGTAGCATGCCATATGCCAGAAAGATCGTCTCCATTTTCCCCTCCATGTACAGAATCGAAGGCTTTAGGAAAATCTGCTAAATGTAAGGCGGCCTGTAGCTTCTTTTCACTGACGTCCTCCGTAATCCGACGAGCAGTCAGGATTTGTCCAACGGTTGATCTGTTCTTTGGAAATCATTTTGAGTTTTTTCGAAATATTTTCTTTATTTAAGGTTGTGTTCAGTTGAGAAGCATTGAGTTGTCAAATTTTTTGCTGTAATGAAGGTAAGTTTAATTCCTCTATAATTTTTTGCCGCTACACTGATTGGCTAAGTTAGGACACAAAATGCCACCCTAATAACCTTCCGACCTTGATGCAGGACCATGATGGCTGGCGTGATAGGTCAATGATTTTCCACGCTAGCTCGACTGGATAAATAATAAAAGATATATATTTTATAAGAGCCAAAATATATCATGATGTTTTTCAATAGAAATTGTCAGTCAAAGGTGATAATAAAGAGAAGTGCAAGTGTGTCAACCTGAAGGACCCCTACTTTAATGTCGAAGAAGTTAGTGCCTCCTGGGGATCTAATCAAAGATTTGGCATTTCTGTATAGCATCATTATGGCACCTACTGTCTCAGTAGGGAGGATGCCAGATTCTAGAAGGTTCTTCTCCATTTTCCCCTATGTATAGAATCGAACGCTTTAGAGAAATCTACATAGAAGTCAACACTTAGAGGCGACAGTCTGTTTCATGCTAGACGCAATTGTCAGGCCACGAGTCTGTCTGTCTGTCTGTCTGTCTGTCTCTCTCTCTCTCTCTCTCTCTCTATATATATATATATATATATATATATATATAAAGGAGAGGTACAGAGAGAGAAAAAGAGAAGAGAGAGAGAGAGAGAGAGAGAGAGAGAGAGAGAGAGAAAGATAATGGATATAGAAGGGGGAGAGTGGAAAAAGAAAAGAAACTTGGTGTAAGTTATGTAGATCTGTTAATGAAACTACACTGAACCACGTATAGTTGATAATCTTTTATTGGTCCCCAATACTTGCCTTCCATCGTCTTTCTTGCCACACCCATCTGCTCGTCTTCACACAAACCGTACCGGCCCGAAGGCTTGCTCATTCTCGCTCAGTATATAGGATTTCCCTTACTGCCAATATCTCTAAAGAGATCAGACAATCTTATCATCTTCCCTTACGCCCCATCCCCACAACAACCTGCATCCGATCATTTTCTTGTAGAGAATTTCTGATGAACTCTCTGACTCTCGACCTACCCAAAATGGCGGAGATTGCGAACGCGGGAGACAGGCATTTCGTATGAACGGCTGTTATGGCCGCCGATGATGCGTTTAATTGAGATTCTGATGGCCACGTTTCTATCTAAAAAGACCAATGAGGCTGGCACCGGTGGATCAGAGAAGATTATCCGCTGAATTATGGACAAAATTCATCATCTATTAAATGGCAGCGACGGTTTGAAATATTTACACTTCAACGTTCAAGAAATGACGAATCCATAACCGCTCTCCTTTTCCTAACCCCAATCTTTACACCCCCACGCACACTCTCGCTCTCTCTGTTTCCAAGCTATCGAAAAGTGTAATCATATCTATCTATCTATCTATCTATCTATCTATCTATCTATCTATCTATCCAGCTCTGGCTGTTGATATCAATATCCCTATTCTGATCTGTTCATCTCCTTCTATTACAGTTTATAGTTATCTATCTATCTATCTATCTATCTATCTATCTATCTATCTATCTATCTATCTATCTCCATTTGTTCATATCAATATACCTATTTTAATCTGTTCATTTCCCTCTATTACAATCTATCTATCTAGCCAGATTAGTCTGTTAATATCTATATCTCTATATTGATCTGTTCAACTCCCTATATTACAGTCTATCGATTTATAGATATGTGTTTTTGTATGTTTGTCTATCTATCTATCTATCTATCTATCTATCTATCTATCTATCTATCTATCTAGCCAGATTAGTCTGTTCAACTCCCTATATTACAGTCTATCGATTTATAGATATGTGTTTTTGTATGTTTGTCTATCTATCTATCTATCTATCTATCTATCTATCTATCTATCTGTCAAACTCGGATCTCATAATCTGAATTTTGAACATATTAGACAATAAAATTTGCACTAGACCGTTGCGCAAATATTTTCCTACTAATTTCAATCCGATTGTATCGATGTTGAGTAATGGAGCAGATTTTCTTCCAGCCCATTGCAAATAAATTCGCTCTTGCTATGGCTCCTCATTTCAGTTGAGATAACGTTCGGGTGATAAACTGCACGCGTTCGCGCGTCTTTATACCCGTGAGATCGGATATAAATGTGCCGATGCGTGTGTATAGCACATGAGATATAACATGAGTAATGTGCGTACCTCTGGAGAAATAATATGAATGTTAGCTGAAAAGTTGGTAAAGTGTTGAGATTTTCAATTTGTTTGGAGTTTTTTCTTTTCCCCCCTTTTCGAATTCCCCAAAAAATATTTTCGTCGGTTCCCCCCCCAAAAAAAAACCTAAGCCACGCCCAACTTTTTCTCCACTTTGAACTTCGAAATTCATTGCAATTCCCATGCAACAGTTAAGCGTGACTGACACTTGTAGGTGTAGATCAATGGTTAGCTTACATAATTTTTATTTGAGAGGTTTAATGATCATTCATGAAGCTTATTTGATAAGGAGATAATCTTTTGGATATACATTTGCTTGATTTAAGTTTTAGCCTATCAGTGGGCATCTAGACCATCCGAGAGCCTTTCATATTGACGACTTACTCCAACCACTTACTTGAATTCTCAAAAATACCACAGCCTTTCTGTTTTTTGTTCATATGCATTTAAGTTTTGGTCAGTATAACAAAAGGTTACAAAATTCGGGCACTCACGAGGATTGAACTTCCTAAATGAGAATAAATAATATTCGTCACTTTTACGTCAGATACCAAAATAGATATTTACAAAGCTTTGTCTAATTTGGAACGGAAACAAAATAATGTGTCATCTAGTGCGGTTCAAATTCGAGCTATTGTGTGAATAATAATAATATATAATAATAATAATATATAATAATATATAATATATAATAATATATATATATATATATATATGTAATAATATTTTATAATAATAATATATAATACTAATATATAATGATATATAATAATAATAATAATAATAATAATATCTGTATAATAAAAATAATAAATATAATAATAATGAATTAGAGTATAAGTGTATAAAATAACCCGGATATAAGTTTTGATCCCGGATATAAGATCTGTATAATTAAATCTGATCTGGGTTACACAGTAATAGTTTTGGCTAATAATAAAACATGATCATAATAGTCACAGAGAGATTTTCTCTGTATAATTATAATCTTATCCCAAATAGATAATAATAGTACTGCCTATAATTTAATCTGATATGAATCGTAAAAGTTGAGATCCATAACCTGGGATCTTATATATGTTTTGATCTGATCATGAATCGTCACAGTATAAGTTTTGATATAATTATAATCTGTCTGGAATCTTCAAGGTCCTGATTTTGAATCGTCACAGTAGTTAGATTTGATCTTATATCCTGGGTGCACAGCTATAAGTTTTGATCTATATAAATAAATAATAATAATGTTTATCTGTACGAAATTATAAATTTAATAATAAATTTTGATCCTTAAATATAATTATAATCTGATCATGAATCGTCACAGTATAATTTTGATCTGGTTGAATTGTATATGTTTTGACTATATAATTATAAAATGAATCGTCAAAAAATCTGTATAATTATAATTTTGGAATCTTCACAGTATATATGTTTTGATCTATATAATTATTTCATGAATCGTCCAGTACATATAAGTTTTTTGTATAAATAATTTTCGGAATCTTTTTGTTTTGATGAATTTTTAATGATTGAATCGTCACAGTATAAGTTTTTGATCTGTAAATTATAAGAGAATGTTTTTGATCTATATAATTATAATCTGTCATGAATCGTCACAGTATATAAGTTTTGATCTGTATAATTATAATTGACCTGGAATCTTCCAGTATATGTTTTGATCTATAGTTTTAAGAGAATCGTCACAGTATAAGTTTTGATCTGTATAAAAATCTGATTGAGTATAAAGTTTTTTGATCTATATATTTATAATGATCATGAATCGTTTATAAGGGTATAATTATAAGACCTGGAATCTTCCAGTATATGTTTTGATCTATATAATTATAATCTGATCATGAATCGTCACAGTATAAATCTGTATAATTTAACTGACCTGGAATCTTCAAAATGTTTTGATCTATATAATTAAAATCTGATCATGAATCTCAGTATAAGTTTTGATCTGTATAATTAAATCTGATCTGAAACAGTATAAGTTTTGATCTATATAATTATAATCTGATCATGAATCCAATCTATAAGATCTGTATATTATAATCTGATCTGGAATCTTCACAGTATATGTTTTGATCTATATAATTAAATCTTCAGAACACAGAAGTTTTGATCTGTATAATTATAATCTGACCTGGAATCTTCACAGTATATGTTTTGATCTATATAATTATAATCTTACAGTATAAGTTTTGATCTGTATAATTATAATCTGATCTGAATCTTCACAGTATAAGTTTTGAATAATCTGATCATGAATCGTCCAGTATAAGTTTTGATCTGTATAATTATAATCTGAAAGGTATAAATTTTGATCTATATAATTATAATCTGATCATGAATCGTCACAGTATTAAGTTTTGATTGTATAATTATAATCTTGGAATCTTCACAGTATAAATTTTGATCTATATAATTATAATCTGATCATGAATCGTCACAGTATAAGTTTTGATCTGTATAATTATAACTGATCTGGAATCTTCACAGTATATGTTTTGGGTATAATGATCTGTATAATTATAACATTTTATGTTTTGATCTATATAATTATAATCTGATCATGAATCGTCACAGTATAAGTTTTGATCTGTAAATCTTCACAGTATAAGTTTTGATCTATATAACTGATCATGAATCGTCACATTATAAGTTTTGATCTGTATAATTATAATCTGACCTGGAATCTTCACAGTATATGTTTTGATCTATATTTTAATGATCATGAATCGTCACAGTATAAGTTTTGATCTGTATAATTATAACTGACCTGGAACCCAGTATATGTTTTGATCTATATAAACTGATGAATCGTCACAGTATAAGTTTTGATCTGTATAATATATCTGACCTGGAATCTTCAACAGTATATGTTTTGTTTATATTTATAATCTGATGTTGAATCGTCACAGTATAAGTTTTGATCTGTATAATTATAATCTGATTCTGGAATCTTCACAGTATAATTATTTTTGAATCACATATATATTTATAAATCTGGAATCTTCACAGTATATGTTTTGATCTATATAATTATAATGATCATGAATCGTCACAGTATAAGTTTTGATCTGTATAATTATAATCTGATCTGGAATCTTCACAGTATATGTTTTGATCTATATAATTATAATCTGATCATGAATCGTCACAGTATAAGTTTTGATCTGTATAATTATAATCTGATCTGGAATCTTCACAGTATAAATTTTGATCTATATAATTATAATCTGATCATGAATCGTCACAGTATAAGTTTTGATCTGTATAATTATAATCTGATCTGGAATCTTCACAGTATATGTTTTGATCTATATAATTATAATCTGATCATGAATCGTCACAGTATAAGTTTTGATCTGTATAATTATAATCTGATCTGGAATCTTCACAGTATAAATTTTGATCTATATAATTATAATCTGATCATGAATCGTCACAGTATAAGTTTTGATCTGTATAATTATAATCTGATCTGGAATCTTCACAGTATAAGTTTTGATCTATATAATTATAATCTGATCATGAATCGTCACAGTATAAGTTTTGATCTGTATAATTATAATCTGATCTGGAATCTTCACAGTATAAATTTTGATCTATATAATTATAATCTGATCATGAATCGTCACAGTATAAGTTTTGATCTGTATAATTATAATCTGATCTGGAATCTTCACAGTATAAATTTTGATCTATATAATTATAATCTGATCATGAATCGTCACAGTATAAGTTTTGATCTGTATAATTATAATCTGATCTGGAATCTTCACAGTATAAGTTTTGATCTATATAATTATAATCTGACCTGGAATCTTCACAGTATATGTTTTGATCTGTATAATTATAATCTGATCTGGAATCTTCACAGTATAAATTTTGATCTATATAATTATAATCTGATCATGAATCGTCACAGTATAAGTTTTGATCTGTATAATTATAATCTGATCTGGAATCTTCACAGTATAGTTTGATATAATTTTTTGATCTAGTTTTATAATTATAATCTGATCTGGAATCTTCACAGAATCGTCTATATAATTACAGATCATGAATCGTAAGTTTTGATCTGTATAATTATAATCTGATCTGGAATCTTCACAGTATATGTTTTGATCTATATAATTATAATCTGATCATGAATCGTCACAGTATAAGTTTTGATCTGTATAATTATAATCTGATCTGGAATCTTCACAGTATAAGTTTTGATCTATATAATTATAATCTGATCATGAATCGTCACAGTATAAGTTTTGATCTGTATAATTATAATCTGATCTGGAATCTTCACAGTATATGTTTTGATCTATATAATTATAATCTGATCATGAATCGTCACAGTATAAGTTTTGATCTGTATAATTATAATCTGACCTGGAATCTTCAGTATATGTTTTGATCTATATAATTATAATCTTCATGAATCGTCACAGTATAAGTTTGATCTGTATAATTATTTTGGAATCTTCACAGTATAAGTTTTATATAATTATAATCTGATCATGAATCGTCACAGTATAAGTTTTTGATCTGTATAATTATAATCTGATCTGGAATCTTCACAGTATATGTTTTGATCTATATAATTATAATCTGATCATGAATCGTCACAGTATAAGTTTTGATCTGTATAATTATAAGATCTGGAATCTTTGTATCTGTTTTATAATATATTATAATCTGATC